TTTAAAACCTTACTCCGCCTTCAATAGCCTTCGAAAATGTCAACGGGGGAAATTTTTTACTCAATTTTTAGGATTTTTTTTCTCAGACTACCTCGCCAAATCTGAGATTAAGGTTTCAATGGAAAGAACAGATAGCGGGATCTCTTCTTCATTAGCTGCTGCTCCCTAGTTTTTACAGAAAAAAGTTGTGGCCCGAAAAAATGTCGTTTTTGACAGTTTGTTTTTTTGAAAGTCTTGCAATTTTTCAAAGGCTACCATCTCTTTTCTGGTGTTAAAGGTTCAAGGGAAAAACTGGTTGTGATAATCCTCCTTGCATAAACAGCTACGCCCTTGTTTTTCGTTAAAATAAATATTTTTTGTTATGTTGACCGTTTTTGTCAAGCTTTTTGATTTTGCTCAAGATTTGTCCTCCCAAATTAAGAATTGATCGGAAACACAGGCGTAAGCGGCTGTGCCCTATTTTTGTTAGAAAAATAGTTATAAGTTTCGGGAAAGTCATTTTTATTTGAGTTTTCGATCGTTTTTGATAATTGTTGATTCTTCAATGAAAAAGGCCCTGCCGAATTTGCCTGACTCGGTTTTTATGAAAATTGTTGTCATTAGTCAAAGAAAAGTCCGTTTTCTGAAATTTTTACCGTTTTTGAAGAAAAAAATGCCGTTTTTGGACCCTGCTTGGAAAGTTTTCACCTTAAAGTTGCATGTTTCCGCGCCTACTCCCTTCAAAAGTAGTATATAATGGCTCTAAAGCGCCTTCAGCAAAATTCAAGGGTCAGCCAGCTGGTCTCTCAAATAGAACCAGAATGGGGGTTCCTTTGGGTAGTCATTGGGTCCAATCTCTGGGGTACGAGCATGCGTCCCTGTTGGTGCGCATAAGTCTAATAATCAATTCTATATCTTGAACTTATCCGATTTTTTGGGCAATTTTTTTTGCTGACCTCGGTTTAGTTGTTGGAATTAAAATTGCCGAAAGTACGAATTGCCGGTGACCAATTTGTCCAAACTCGGATGGATTTGAGTAGAATATATTAACCTGCCACCAAAATACCACTGACCTGACATTTGCTTTCAGAAATATATTTCCTACAGTTATTGACTGTCGTAATTCGGACCTCTGAACACTGTACCTTCGGAAAGGTGGAAAGTGGATAAAAGAGAAACTCCCAGAATCCGAAGCACCCAATTGACTAGCAGCGACGATAAATATCCTTGTTTACAATGTCAGAAGTATACTTGAGTATCAACGGCGGACAACCTTCTAATGCTGTCCCAGTAAAAAACGCTCCTCAAGTCATCTGCCTAACTGCAACCTGGTTGTCAGAAACCACCGAAATGACAGACCGAGTGACAAAGGCTTCACAAAACATGGTGGCGTACTTATAGCAGTAAACCGTAACATTCCAAGTAGCCAAATCAATTCCGCGTTATCATCCGCATATCCCTGATTAAGCCGATTATAATATACTGCATTTACAGCGCTCCTTCAAACAGTACCTACACATGGGATATCTCAGATCAAGTCGAACTCTTAAAAATCCTGAGGCGTAAGCAATTTGAACAAAGTCCAATTTGTTCGTATATAGTCGAGGATATAAATTTTAACTGTACACACTGGCTGTCAATGACTTCAACTTCTCTAGATGAGCAGTCAATCCTCGACGAACTCTGTGAGTCAAACTTCCAACAACTAATAAAAACCCCCGATGGAAAATCACTAGACGTTCTGTAGTAACAAACCGCATTTTGTCACCAGCGCGAAACTTGACAACCGTCTGAGAAGTCTATTCAGTTCCGACCATTTGCCACTCCATGCTAAAGTCTCATTTTACTAACGACCTGTTCATAAAAAGACACCAGCCGTCAAACAAAAACTAGATTTTGGCTTTCTCGCGTACAAGAAAATAAACTGGGAAGAAATGAATGAATTCATTCGTCAACACCCCTCCAACCATATTGCTTGAGCAACGTTGAACTGATGCTCGATCATAGGTACGAGTTGTTACACGAAATACTACAGGACCTGCTACCAATCACTACAAAACACAGGTCTGAACTAGCTCCTTGGGTGGGAAGCGATTCCTCCAACCTTATCAAGAAATTAAATACAGTTCAACTTAAAAATCAGCAAAAACCTACCTCATCGAACGAAGGCAAAATTGAAAATCTGTAAACTGAGCTAACACTCCCTTCAAAATGACCAGCATCTCCACGAAAAAATGCTTTTTGAGAATGGGAAATTCAGCGAAATTCAACGATATCTGAAATCGATTACCAAGTCTAGCACGATCCCTTCAGAGATCTTCCTAGTTAAAAAGACGCTTAAAAAGTTGAATTGTTTAATATATATTTTCAATCAGTTTTCACAAGAAACGCCAACGTTGGGAAAACAGAACGACAAGAAAACGTTTATGAACAGTATCAATTACACTATCGATGAAATAGAAGATGCCCTAAACGAGCTGGACGTAAATAAGGCCAATGGACCAGATAAGATTGGTAATGCTCTTCTGAAAAGCCTCTCAAAATCACTACCAAAATCACTTCACTTACTGTTCAACGTGATTGCAAATAAAGCGATATTTCCAAAAAATGGAAGATCAGCAAAATCGCACCAATTTTCAAAGACCCAATCGTCTATCCAACCCTTACACCAGACCAACACGGTTTTAGGCCCAAACGATCGACGATAACAAACCTAATAGACTATCTATACGAGATATTTAGCTGCCTAGATTTGCCAAACTGCAACTACCTGAACACCTTCTACTTGGACTTTAAAAGGCATTTGACAAAGTCTCGCTTGGAATCCTCATGGAGAAATTATCGGCTTCTGGAATTGGAGGAAATTGTTTATCTCTGATACACAGCTACCTCTCGAACCGGAAGCAAACAGTGAGGCTGAATGATACAATTTTCGGAGAGCTGGAAGTCTTCAGCGGCGTTCCCGAGGGCTCTATACTCGGGCCGATTTTCTTCCTAGTCTTCATAAATGATCTACCGTCCTGTGTCAAGTCCGCAACAATTGGTTATGCAGAGGACTACAAAATTGTTGGAGACAACCCTTTAACTCTCAACATAGATGTTAGGAGACTTTGGAGATGGTGCGAGAAAAACTGCATGTCAATTAACCTGATGAAAAGCAAAGTCCTCTGTATCAAAGGATCAGCTACGATTCTACTCCCCAATTACAGCTTCGAAACCACTGAAGTAATGAAACATCTGGGCATCCTGATAACCGACACGCTGTCATTAACGCAACACGCAAAAAAGAGGACTGAAAAAGCCTTAAACGCTCTCCTTGTACTCAAAAGGAATCTCTCAAAGGCAAATTTCGCGACCAGAAAAAAACGCATATATGTTACGTTGTGCCAATTCTGTGCTACGGTTCAGCTATCTGGAAACCATCAAAAGGTGAATTAAGAATCATAGAAACTGTGCAGCGGAAAGCGATTTCGTGGATTTTCATGACAAGCAATAGCCTTATCTCCTATAAAGACAAACTCGTAAAACTTAAAATCGTTCCTTTGTCCCTGTACCAAGAGCTTCATGTTGGACTGCTGTTTGCAAAAATACTAGCTGGAAAAGTTGACATTGACTGGAGAAGCCTAGTAAGCATCACTGACGTTGCAAACCGAAGAGCTCAAATGACACGAAATTTCGTCTGCAAACAAATGCGTCTGAAGAAGTGCGAGTCGGATTTCTGGTTTCGGGCAAGTCGTCTTGCTAATCTGTACTATGAATACTTCAAATATGACATATTGTTTGATCCAGAATGCAAGAACAGACTTCTTGGAATGTACACGAAGTTTTTCAAAACTCGCTACAACGAATCAGATACATGCACTTGGCGCATTTTATGCGAATGCAACAACTGTAGAGACCTGAAAAAACTTACACCTATAACTGAAAACTAAACTTTGAACACTGCAAGGACTGGGTTTTATGCGAACCCTTGGATTATATTCCTAAATTATTATCATTATTATTATTATTATTATTGCAACCAGGTTCTAGACCTTTTCCCTTGAACTTGTTCACAGAAACGGTACATTTAGATTCAGTTCATAATGAATTGAAATTTTTTCCGTCTCCTGCAAACTTGATATGGAGGTGACGAATACGCCTAGGACGACTAAGATCCTGGGTTCGAATCTGAAAGAACCTGTTTTTTTTTTCAAAAGGGAAATATTCAGTTTTAGAAAAATTGTCGTTCCATTATTTGTCTGCTCATGTTTTGTCGGATTATTTGCCTCCTCGCCACTTTTTTGTGTACTGTAAGCCGTTTTATGTTTCAACTGAAAGCTGTCCAGATTCATTTATGTAATTGGTAAATTGAATAACCTTGACTGAGAACTTATATCAACTCGATTTGTTAAAATGTTTTTTTTTTCATTTGTTTTGGCCTTTTTTGATAGTTCTCGACTGATTCTATAATCGGTTTAGTAGCAACCTTTTGTGTCTTTTGTTGCCCGAAACATTTTTAGTATGCGTGTGTGCATTCTGAGAAGAACGGGTTCTTGAATTTTTAAATTAGTTTTGAAGTTCTTCGTTTTCTATCGGTAAGAAGAGGTTCTGCTCGGCTTTTTGGCTTTTTACCGCTTGGTTAGCTTTCTTCCGATACTAATTTCACATTCTATTGTCTTGGCCTGTTTTTTCTCAAAACTAGCTTAATTCATTTTTGATACATCTAGTTTTTTCGACAGTTCCGAATTTGTTCAACTCCTTTTAACTTTGTTTTTAAGATCGTTTTCCTGATTGTATCGCGTTTTGCGAAGCTCCGTTTCGCCTCTGTAATTGTCACTGTAGATAGCTTTTATATTTAACATGTTATATTTAACATGTTATATTTAACATGTTATATTTAACATGATGCAATATGTAGTATCCATATTAATAAGCTCGAAATAAATAAAATCGGTTTCCAAAAGTCGGCTGGTTGAGGCTGACAAATACATGGAAAATGTATGCAACAGTTGCTGAATAGCTTTTTTCATTTCAGACAGGGATGTGTTAAATGTGAAGTGATGTATAGTTGTGTAGTAGCTGAGATTTGAGTTGTGGCTGTGTTGTGTTGCTTCTCTCTCCTCTCCTCGCCTCGTCGTCCCTCCCTACCCTCTCCTTTCTATCGTGTTTCTAGTCTGTGATGGTGCTTCCAGGAGCATCACACACCCACCATCATCACCATCAGCAGCAGGCGACTACTACCCAGCAGGTCTACAACCAGTCTCAACTGCAACTAGCCCACCACCACTTCCTCACCCATCACCACAACACACTGGTCCACAGTGTCAATATTCTCAGGTGAGGAATGGGGTAGTTGATAGAAAGAAGAAAGAAAGAGGAGGGCGTTTTCATTTATTTTTGGGGATTGTTCACTTGATCTGTTTAGGGAGGAGATTGTTAACATGGTCTATTTAGGGAGGACATTGTTCACATGGGCCTAGAAACTATCACATACTCAATGAATAGAAAGGTCATAGTTAATAGAAACACAATCTATCAAGTGGCGACTTAAGACACATCAAAACTACACCATTTGACGAAAGGTTCTGACATTCACCCTTGATAGAATGTGTTTTGCTTACAGACCTTTGTTTATTGAGTCTTTGTTCCTTTTTCGTTATTTCACCGAATAAAAGAATAGAAAGGGAAAGAAAATGTTCGCTGTTTGATAGAAAATAAATTCAAAATTTATGAAAACTTAGATTTATCATGTGACGCACTGTCATTCTTTTTTTTTTCGGTTGGAATGGCTGAAAAAAATTACCCCAAGGGTCCTTATTTTTTCCATGGCGAACTTTGATACTCTGGCAAATTTCAGTGTTTTGATAACAATTTGTTACAAAAAATCTGAAAGATAGATGCGCTGAGTAAAAAAAATAGATTAAGCTACAATCATTCTCGTAGATAAGGGGTTTAAAAATTGCCCGAATGGTATAATTAACGCGCTGTGCGAAAAATGTTTCCTAATAACGTGTAAGTGGCAAATTATTCCGCCTCTGAAATTACCTCAAGTTGAGTTGAGGGCATTTATTTGGTTTAATACGGATTACACAAGCACACGCCTGTGTTATTTTACAGGTTCTTTTTTTTCATTCGAAGTTAGTTTTTTCAAGTATATGCAGGTATTCCAACGCCAAATTACAATGGATACTTAGGATATTGATACAGGCTATTGGAAGTCATAGGAAGATATTGACGTCCTGAGCTCAAGCTACAAAGTTTTTTCACCTGTGATCCTTTTTTTGGAAAGTTGGTTTCGTTTGAACCTATTCACAGAAGCGGAGCATTGTAGCATATTACAAAGTATACTTTTTCTTACCGAATTTGCAAATTAAAGTACTCATTTGGTGGCCTTTATGCAGCAATATTATTATATCTGGTTTAATTGCGCTGCATTAGCGTTTTATATTGTTTCTAGTTTTTTTGGTGACTAGTGTTTTTAGACATGTGGCTCTTAATCTCGAGGTTTCGATTCCGGCAGAATTTTAGTTATTTACATTTTTTATTTTATTGAACATTCTAGAGCTGTTTTTTTTTGCTGCCGTTTTCTCGATTGTTTGCGAAGTGACGCTTAGCTTCCATGTTAGAGTTTTTTTTGCCTGCCAGCTGCGAGTTTTTATTTACGCACAATTTTGGCGGCGAACAATCCCGGCTCTGAAATCATTCCAAATCTAACTGAGGCAAGTACGTTGGTCAAATTTATGCGCTATCAGACAAGAAACAAAGCAGTTTTAAATAAAGTGGGAAGAAGTTTCATTTTTTTTTTCAATTGTTCAAGTTTTTTTTGTTATACGGTGCATGTTTTTAACCGATTTTTTTTGGTAAGGTCATCCTCGCATCTATGGTGAAATTTGTACTCGCAAGAAGTTTTGATTGTTTGCAACAAAAATCAAATTTAGCTTTCAGAGTTAAGACCAGTATGTTAAGACCAGCAGAACTTTTCTTTATTTGTGCATAATCTTTTTGACTCGCGAGAGCAAAGGTAATTGTAATCCGGAACTGAAGTTTTTTCCGTATATAACTCTAAATTCTAAGAAATTGGCTTTGCTTTATTATGAAGTCTCAGTAGCTTTAAAACCTTTCCAATTTGGGGTAGTGGTAGAGTTTGTGGCTTCGTAGTCGTGGTTCTGAGTATCGAGGCCTGGCTGGACCTTATTTTTTACACTTCAGCTTAGTGTATTATTGCGAACCTTCTTATTTTCTAATCTAAGTCGCAAATGAAAGAGTCCAATGAAAAAGTTCATTTATTTGAAAATTTTAGGGTAGTATTGCATAGCATCTGTTCTCTGTTTTGTTTGTTTGCTAGTATTTGGTGCCTATTAAGCTTCCGTGGCTGAGTGGTTAGTATGTGAGACTCTTAATCGCTCGGTTGCAGGTTTGAATCTCAGAGGTAGCCGAGTTTTTACTAAGTTGAGGCTTCTTTCTAATTTTTAATGTTGCATTTTATGGAGCTGCTTTTTGCCATGTTCTAGCAAGTGTATATCTATGAAATTTGATTTATTCTGGGAAAGTTTGATTATCGAACTATCGTTTGCCTGTTTATTGTTTGTTAGCTTACTTCCTAAGCATGGAATTTTTTGAAGTTCGAGGGAGTTTTCAACATGTGTTATAGTGACCTGCTTCTGGGTCTAAGTGTACTCTTATTACACTTGCGAAGCAAAGTGTATTAATACGATATTTATTTTTTTTCCAACAAAAGTCGCAAATAAAAGTGCTACTTTTGTTGGCACTTTTCAATCGGTAAGCTGTGGTAGCTGTAAAATATCATATGTGCTTTGACATTTGATTAGTAAAAAAATAACACAGCTGATGCATTTTCAATTCATCAAATGAACCGAAAAAATTGATTTATTTCAAACAGCAGTACAATGATAAAAGTCTCGATTTCAGATTTTTTCTAACTTCAATGCATCTCGCAATTTTTTAGAAATGCATTATTTATACATAATTTGGCTTTAAGGTTTCCAATTTATTACATGCAAAATTGTGTCCTTTTGTATTTGGTGCTACTTTTGCTGCATCGAATTGGAAATTTATTAGCATATGTAGCTGCGTATTGGTGGCTAGTTTTTGGGGATTTTACGCATCCGTGACTAAGTGGTTAGTGCGTGAGACTCAAATTTGCCAGGTCGCAGATTCGAATCCGAAACGTAGCTGAGTTTTTGCTAATTAGAGGCTTATTACTTTTTTTCTTCAGTTGATAGGGCAGCTTTTTGGTCGTGTTGTCGCAAGTGTTTGCGAAGCGCAGCTCCGCCTCTATGTACATGATTACTTTTATTTTTTGAACCGTAAATGAAAATAGAAAAACCTTTATCTAATGAATATTTTTGTTCCGTTCATGTCGCGATCTGTCTGGAAGCCACTACGGCACAACGGACCTCGAAGGAAGCTTTTAAAAGTGATTTTTGCTATAATTTGAAAGCCCTTTTAGTCGTAATTGTTTGAGTAGCAACGTAAAGTTTCAAAAAAGGTCTTGAGAAAGCACAGTGTTATATTTATAGCGCAAATTCAAAGCCTGACTATTTTATCATAAATGATTCAAATTTTGCATTTGTTAACGTGTTATTAAATAGTTATTGAAGTTTATTATCAGCGCTTCCCCCTTCCCCTCAAATCGGCGCTCTGTTTTCCCTTTGCTTAAGTATTCTAGATGAGTTGAATGTTTTCTATTTTCCTAATCCAGGTCTCTCCCCATGCCCACAGCTATTCCGGACTCCTCCTCGTCCTCAGCTCAGAATATCTCGGCAGCCGTCGCCGGCAGAGGAACCGCGGGAAGTGCACTCCTCACCCCTCTAGGCGTGTCCTCCGCAGCCACTGCAACCTGCACGGGCGCATCCTCTTCATTCCCCCCAATGGTGTCAACTACTCAGTGGGAGCGCAACATGGTATCCGCAGCGCATCACTTCTCGAAGCAGCAGATGAATGATATTGTGCTAGACTACTTGATCAAAGGTAGCTCTGCTTGCAACGTGAATACAAATCAATTATTCGCATTATATCAGGACTCACCGATAGCACTGTTTTGGAACCGTGCTAATTACTGTCCTATATGACTCACAGCAGTGCTTATCAAGCTGCGGGTTTACCGAGCAGCGCGGTTTGCTGTTACAGAAGAAAGCTCAGATTATAGTTTTTTTGTAACTACCGATGGCAAGGGTTTTTTTACTTTGCATTAGTGTTCCTGAATGAATACAATTGGCTGATTTTCTAATTGTTTCTGCTCTGCTTGAAAAGTGTTCTCATGAATGTACATCAATTATCCACATTATATCAGTACTTGCCGATAGCACTGGTTTTGAACCGTGCTTATTACTGTCCTATATGACTCACAGTAGTGCTTATCAAGCTGCGGGTTAAATGAGCAGCGCGGTTTGCTGTTACAGAAGAAACCTCAGTTTATAGTTCCGTGGAACTGCCGATGGCATGGGTTTTATTCGTTGCATTAATATGTTCCTATATGAATAAGAAAGGTTGATATTCTAATTGTTTTTGCTCTGCTTGAAACGTGTTCTCATGAGTAAACATGAAGTATTCACATTGTATCAGGACTTACCGATTGCACTGTTTTTTAACCGTGCTAATTACTGTCCTATATGATTCCCAGCAGTCCTTAGCAAGCTGCGGGTTTACTGAGCAGCGCTGTTTGCTGTTACAGAAAAAACCTCAGTTTATAGTTTTTTGGAACTACCGATGGCATGGGTTTTATTCTTTGCATTAATATGTTCCTAATTGATTAAGATTGGTTGATATTCTGATTGTTTTTGCTCTGCTTGAAACGTGTTCTCATGAGTAAACATGAAGTGCTCACATTGTATCAGGACTTACCGATTGCACTGTTTTTTAAAGTCATATATTTATACATCAAGTATTCACATTATATCAGGACTTACCGATAGCTCTGTTTTTGAACCGTGCTAATTACTGTCCTATACCATTCACAGCAATGCTTACCAAGCTGCGGGTTAACTAAGCAGCGAGGTTTGCTGTTACAGAAGAAAGCTCAGGTTCTAATTCTTTGGAACTACCGATGGCATGGGATTTGTTCTTTGCATTAATATGTTCCTAAATGAATACAATTGGTTGATATTCTTATTGTTTCTGCTCTGCTTGAAACGTATTCTCATGCTTATACATTAAGTATTTACTTTGAATCAGGACTTACCGATAGCACTGTTTTTGAACCATGCTAATTACTGTCCTATATGACTCACAGCAGTGCTTACCAAGCTGCGGTTAAACTGAGCAGCGCGGTTTGCTGTTAAACTAGAAACCTCAGATTATATTTCTTTGGAACTACCGATGGCATGGGTTTTGTTCATTGCATTAATATGTTCCTAAATGAATACAATTGGTTAATTTTCCAATTGTTTCTGCTCTTCAACTATTCGCATCATATCAGGACTCACCGATAGCACTGTTTTTGAAGCATGCTAATTACTGTCCTAAATGACTCACAGCAGTGCTTACCAAGCTGCGGGATAACTGAGCAGCGCGGTTTGCTGTTACAGAAGAAAGCTCAGATTTTAATTCTTTGGAACTACCGATGGCATGGGTTTTGTTCTTTGCATTAATATGTTCCTAAATGAATACAATTGGTTGATATTCTTATTGTTTCTGCTCTGCTTGAACTGTGTTCTCATGAATATACATCAAGTATTCACATTATATCAGGACTTACCGATAGCTCGGTTTTTGAACCGTGCTAATTAGTGTTCTATACCATTCACAGCAATGCTTACCAAGCTGCGAGTTAACTGAGCAGCGCGGTTTGCTGTTACAGAAGAAAACTCAGTTTATAAGTCTTTGGAACTACCGATGGCATGGGTTTTGTTCTTTGCATTAATATGTTCCTAAATGGATACAATTCGTTGATATTCTTATTGTTTCTACTCTGCTTGAACTGTGTTCTCATGATTATACATCAAGTATTCACATTATATCAGGACTTACCGATAGCTCTGTTTTTGAACCGTGCTAATAAGTGTTCTATACCATTCACAGCAATGCTTACCAAGCTGCGAGTTAACTGAGCAGCGCGGTTTGCTGTTACAGAAGAAAGCTCAGTTCATAATTCTTTGGAACTACCGATGGCATGGGTTTTGTTCTTTGCATTAATTTGTTCCTAAATGGATACAATTCGTTGATATTCTTATTGTTTCTGCTCTGCTTGAACTGTGTTCTCATGATTATACATCAAGTATTCACATTATATCAGGACTTACCGATAGCTCTGTTTTTGAACCGTGCTAATTACTGTCCTATACCATTCACAGCAATGCTTACCAAAGCTGCGGGTTAACTAAGCAGCGCGGTTTGCTGTTACAGAAGAAAGCTCAGGTTCTAATTCTTTGGAACTACCGATGGCATGGGTTTTGTTCTTTGCATTAATATGTTCCTAAATGAATACAATTCGTTGATATTCTTATTGTTTCTGCTCTGCTTGAACTGTGTTGTCATGATTATACATCAAGTTTTCACATTATATCAGGACTTACCGATAGCTCTGTTTTTGAACCGTGCTAATTACTGTCCTATACCATTCACAGCAATGCTTACCAAGCTGCGGGTTAACTAAGCAGCGCGGTTTGATGTTACAGAAGAAAGCTCAGGTTCTAATTCTTTGGAACTGCCGATGGCATGGGATTTATTCTTTGCATTAATATGTTCCTAAATGAATACAATTCGTTGATATTCTTATTGTTTCTGCTCTGCTTGAACTGTGTTCTCATGATTATACATCAAGTATTCACATTATATCAGGACTTACCGATAGCTCTGCTTTTGAACCGTGCTAATTACTGTCCTATACCATTCACAGCAATGCTTACCAAAGCTGCGGGTTAACTAAGCAGCCCGGTTTGCTGTTACAGATGAAAGCTCAGGTTCTAATTCTTTGGAACTACCGATGGCATGGGTTTTGTTCTTTGCATTAATATGTTCCTAAATGAATACAATTCGTTGATATTCTTATTGTTTCTGCTCTGCTTGAACTGTGTTCTCATGATTATACATCAAGTATTCACATTATATCAGGACTTACCGATAGCTCTGCTTTTGAACCGTGCTAATTACTGTCCTATACCATTCACAGCAATGCTTACCAAGCTGCGGGTTAACTAAGCAGCGCGGTTTGCTGTTACAGAAGAAAGCTCAGGTTCTAATTCTTTGGAACTACCGATGGCATGGGATTTGTTCTTTGCATTAATATGTTCCTAAATGAATACAATTGGTTGATATTCTTATTGTTTCTGCTCTGCTTGAAACGTATTCTCATGCTTATACATTAAGTATTCACTTTAAATCAGGACTTACCGATAGCACTGTTTTTGAACCATGCTAATTACTGTCCTATATGACTCACTGCAGTGCTTACCAAGCTGCGGTTTAACTGATCAGCGCGGTTTGCTGTTAAACTAGAAAGCTCAGATTATATTTCTTTGGAACTACCGATGGCATGGGTTTTGTTCTTTGCATTAATATGTTCCTAAATGAATACAATTGGTTAATTTTCCAATTGTTTCGGCTCTACTTGGAACGTGTTCTCATGAATGTGCATCAACTATTCGCATCATATCAGGACTCACCGATAGCATTGTTTTTGAAGCATGCTAATTACTGTCCTAAATGACTCACAGCAGTGCTTATCAAGCTGCGGGTTAAATGAGCAGCGCGGTTTGCTTTAACAGAAGAAACCTCAGTTTATAGTTCCTTGGAACTGCCGATGGCATGGGTTTTGTTCTTTGCATTAATATGTTCCTAATTGAATACAATTGGTTGATATTCTTATTGTTTTTGCTCTGTTTGAACTGTGTTCTCATAAATATACATCAAGTATTCACATTATATCAGGACTTACCGATAGCTCTGTTTTTGAACCGTGCTAATTAGTGTTCTATACCATTCACAGCAATGCTTACCAAGCTGCGAGTTAACTGAGCGGCGCGGTTTGCTGTTACAGAAGAAATCTCAGTTTATAATTATTTGGAACTACCGATGGCATGGGTTTTGTTCTTTGCATTAATATGTTCCTAAATGAATACAATTGGTTGGTATTCTTATTGTTTCTGCTCTACTTGAACTGTGTTCTCATGAATATACATCAAGTATTCACATTATATCAGGTTTTACCGATAGCTCTGTTTTTGAACCGTGCTAATTAGTGTCCTATACCATTCACAGCAATGCTTACCAAGTTGCGAGTTAACTGAGCAGCGCGGTTTGCTGTTACAGAAGAAAGCTCAGGTTATAGTTTTTTTTGTAACTACCGATGGCATGTGTTTTTTCTTTGCATTAATATGTTCCTAAATGAATACAATTGGTTGATATTCTTATTGTTTCTGCTCTGCTTGAAACGTATTCTCATGCTTATACATTAAGTATTCGCTTTAAATCAGGACTTACCGATAGCACTGTTTTTGAAGCATGCTAATTACTGTCCTATATGACTCACAGCAGTGCTTACCAAGCTGCGGGATAACTGAGCAGCGCAGTTTGGTGTTACAGAAGAAAGCTCAGTTTATAGTTCCGTGGAACTGCCGATGGCATGGGTTTTGTTTTTGCATTAATATGTTCCTAAATGAATACAGTTGGTTGATATTCTTATTGTTTCTGCTCTGTTTGAACTGTGTTCTCATGAGTATACATCAAGTATTCACATTATATCAGGACTTACCGATAGCTCTCTTTTTGAACCGTGCTAATTAGTGTCCTATACCATTCATAGCAATGCTTACCAAGCTGCGGGTTAACTAAGCAGCGCTGTTTGCTGTTACAGAAGAAAGCTCAGTTTATAGTTCTGTGGAACTGCCGATGGCATGGGTTTTGTTCTTTGCATTAATATGTTCCTAAATGAATACAATTGGTTGATATTCTTATTGTTTCTGCTCTGTTTGAACTGTGTTCTCATGAATATACATCAAGTATTCACATTAAATCAGGACTTACCGATAGCT